TCTTAATTTGTTCTTCTTCTGTGGACCAGGTTAAGAGCTTTTTGACATAGGATTCTGATTAGTTTTTTGTCTTTTTGTAAAACTGTTTCCCATAGTCCCTCCTCTTGGTCAAAACCTATTTTGTTATCCTCTCTGAAACCTTGTTGAATTTGCAAGTACTGTAGCCAGGTTATTTTTTCACATGCTTGCTCGAATAGCCAGGTTTTGACTGTGACTTCCTCTCACATATTTATGCATGGCTATCATATCTCTTATTTCTCATCCCTTATTTCTTATTTCTCATGCCAGTAAGGTAATGCTCAAGATCCTGCAAGGAAGACTCCAGCAATACATGGAGCGAGAGTTGCCAGATGTTCAAGCTGGGTTTAGAAAAGGCAGAGGAACCAGAGACCAGATTGCCAATATCCGCTGGATAATGGAGAAAGGCAGGGAGTTTCAGAAAAACATCTATTCTGCTTCATTGACTATTCTAAAGCCTTTGACTGTGTGGATCATAATAAATTGTGGCAAGTTCTTGGTGGGATGGGCATCCCAAGCCCCCTTCCCTCTCTCCTGAGGAATCTGTACAAGGACCAAGTAGCAACAGTCAGAACTGACCACGGAACAACAGACTGGTTCAAGATTGGGAAAGGCGTCCGGCAAGGCTGCATACTCTCACCCAACCTTTTTAACTTGTATGCAGAACACATCATGCGAGGATGTGCGGGGCTTGAGGAATGCAAAGCTGGGGTGAAAATTGCTGGAAGAAACATTAACAACCTCAGATATGCAGATGACACCACTCTGATGGCCGAAAGCGAGGAGGAGCTGAGGAGCCTTCTAATCAAGGTGAAGGAAGAAAGCGCAAAAGCCGGGTTGCAGCTAAACGTCAAAAAAACCAAGATTATGGCAACAAGAATGATTGACAACTGGAAAATAGAAGGAGAAAATGTGGAGGCTGTGACAGACTTTGTATTTCTAGGCGCAAAGATGACTGCAGATGCAGACTGTGGCCAGGAAATCAGAAGACGCTTACTTCTTGGGAGGAGAGCAATGTCCAGTCTCGATAAAATAGTAAAGAGTAGAGACATCGGACTGGCAACAAAGATCCGCCTAGTCAAAGCCATGGTCTTCCCTGTAGTCACCTACGGATGTGAGAGCTGGACCTTAGGGAAGGCTGAGCGAAGGAAGAGAGAGGCTTTTGAGCTGTGGTGTTGGAGGAAAGTTCTGAGAGTGCCTTGGACTGCGAGAAGATCCAACCAGTCCATCCTCCAGGAAATAAAGCCCGGCTGCTCACTGGAGGGAAGGAGACTAGAGACAAAGTTGAAGTCCTTTGGCCACATCATGAGGAGACAGCAAAGCCTAGAGAAGGGAATGATGCTGGGGAACGTGGAAGGCAAAAGGAAGAGGGGCCGACCAAGGGCAAGATGGATGGATGGCATCCTTGAAGTGACTGGACTGAGCTTGAAGGAGCTGGGGGTGGTGACGGCCGACAGGGAGCTCTGGCGTGGGCTGGTCCATGAGGTCACGAAGAGTCGGAGACGACTGAACGAATGAACAACAACTTCTCTCTCAGCCTTCTCTTCTTCAGGCTAAACATGCCCAGCTCCTTAAGCCGCTCCTCATAGGGCTTGTTCTCCAAACCCTTGATCATTTGAGTCGCCCTCCTCTGGACACATTCCAGCTTGTCAATATCTCTCTTCAACTTACACTCTCTCCGCTCTATATAGTTTGCCTTAAGATCCGTACAAGTCAGAAATGACTCAAAGGCACACAAAAGCAAGAGAGCTCCTTCCCCTTGGCAGGATTTTCCCTTATTTAAAAATTAGTCTTGGCACTGAAAGCAGTCTAAAGCATTCACTTTCATTTATTCTGGGTTTTTCCCAAAATGCAGCCTTACTGGATTTTGCGATCAAGGAAATTGGCAACATGCATGGCTCTGCCATCGCTGGGTTATTCTTTTGTGAAAGTGGCTTTACCTGCAGATTGTGGAACGAGGATTGATTTGCTGCCAAGCGCATTCCTTCCACCCAAGACCAGGCGCCTTGTGCACCGAGCGCAGATAACAAGATTAAAGTGTGCTTCTGGTACAAGGAGGCAGATGGATAACCTCATGGAGAACTGGAGCTGGTTAATTGCCAGCCAATCCTAATTCAACGCGATAAATATGATTTAGTAGATGCATTAAACAGCAAATGTTGACAAAGAGCAAGGCATGCTGTTATTCTTCTGCAGAGCAGGCAGCAGGTTAGGCGGCGGGTTTAGCAGCTTGCAGATGCAAGAGTATATTGTTGTGAGCATTTCCATTTCCCCTTTTCATAGAATCATAGAATCAAAGAGTTAGAAGAGACCTCCTGGGCCATCCAGTCCAACCCCATTCTGCCAAGAAGCAGGAATATTGCATTCAAATCACCCCTGACAGATGGCCATCCAGCCTCTGTTTCAAAGCCTCCAAAGAAGGAGCCTCCACCACACTCCGGGGCAGAGAGTTCCACTGCTGAACGGCTCTCACAGTCAGGAAGTTCTTCCTCATGTTCAGATGGAATCTCCTCTCTTGCAGTTTGAAGCCATTGTTCCGCGTCCTAGTCTCCAAGGAAGCAGAAAACAAGCTTGCTCCCTCCTCCCTGTGGCTTCCTCTCACATATTTATACATGGCTATCATATCTTCTCTCAGCCTTCTCTTCTTCAGGCTAAACATGCCCAGCTCCTTAAGCCGCTCCTCATAGGGCTTGTTCTCCAGACCCTTGATCATTTTAGTCGCCCTCCTCTGGACACATTCCCGCTTGTCAATATCTCTCTTGAATTGTGGTGCCCAGAATTGGACACAATATTCCAGGTGTGGTCTAACCAAAGCGGAATAGAGCATGGGGAGCATGACTTCCCTGGACCTAGACACTATGCTCCTATTGATGCAGGCCAAAATCCCATTGGCTTTTTTTGCCACCACATCACATTGTTGGCTCATGTTTAACTTGCTGTTCACGAGGACTCCAAGATCTTTTTCACACGTACTGCTCTCAAGCCAGGCATTGTCCCCCATTCTGTATCTTTGCATTTCGTTTTTCCTGCCAAAGTGGAGTATCTTGCAGGCATTTTATTCCATTTGCAGCATTGCTCCCTTCCACAATGCCGTAAAATGAAGTTCAGTGCAGTTAAGCAGCATTATATGAGCCCACACTGATATGATGCAGATTCAAACTGCATTGTATGGCATTGTAGATGGGGCCATGGTGTTAGCCGCAGAACATGTGCCATTGGAATAAGATACCTGAACTCTATTGTAGAATTCCCAAATCTTAGCATTACAAGAGTACCCCGGGGTCATCCAAAATACAGTAAGTTGTAGCAGGATCAAGTGTGAGAGGAAGCCACAGGGAGGAGGGTGCAAGCTTGTTTTCTGCTTCCCTGGAGACTAGGACGCAATGGAGCAATGGTTTCAAACTACAAGAGAGGAGATTCCATCTGAACATGAGGAAGAACTTCCTGACTGTGAGAGCCGTTCAGCAGTGGAACTCTCTGCCCGGAGTGTGGTGGAGGCTCCTTCTTTGGAAGCTTTTAAACAGAGGCTGGATGGCCATCTGTTGGGGGTGCTTTGAATGCAATTTTCCTGCTTCTTGGCAGAATGGGGTTGGACTGGATGGCCCATGGCGTCTCTTCCAATTCTATGATTCTATGATACTTGAGTGAGCTCAACTCACAGCGATGCTGGAGAAGTCCCACCAAGCATGCATGGATTTCTTTTTCGTGTCAGGAGTGATTTGAGAAACTTAAACCGCATGGGAAGCTGGAACTGACAGAGGAAGCTCATCCACGGTGGTTGGGACTCATAGACAGATGTATATTTTGTACCTTTATTTTATATTTAATTACTAAGGTACATTGGAGTGGAGCTGCCTAAAAATGATCCAGCACATCCAGGAAAATATTTAATAACATATTCTGTGTATGTTGATTTTCCTGGATGCACTGTATCATTTTTAGGCAGCTCCACTCCAATGCACATTAGTAATTAAATCTAAAATAATGGTACAAAATATACATCTGCCTATGAGTCCCAACCAGAGTGTAACCAGGTGTATTTTATTTATTTATTTGTGGTATTTGTATATTGCCCTTCTCAACCCTGATGGAGTGTGGATATGCTATTGTGTGGTGTTTTGTTTGCCAGGGGGAGTTGTTTTTGCACATGTGCTGTAGTGTCTTTTTGCTTTTTTGGCTTTTTAAGTCCTTTCTGCTGTGTTTTTCAGTGTTTTTGTACGTGATGGTCACTCATTGGCGCCCTACACCACTGGAGAAATTACACTGCTTAGCTGGTATTGCACCACCTGACATCCACCGGGAAGTAGCAGCCAATAGTGAAAGGACCAAGGCAGAGACATCTCCAGCTCATCCCTGTTTGGGTATCAGCCAGCACGTCAACAACTTAAATCTAGAAATAGTTTTCTAAGATCTACAGAGACACTCGCTGGAACACCTCAGCAAGCGAGAGTCCAAAAGTGGCAGGCTCAAACCCAGAACATTTAATAGCTGAGAGACTCCCCCCCTGGGCACACAGTAAACTGGGTGACTTGGAAGGCGCTGTACAGACTGCACTCTGGCACCATGAGATGCAGAGCCGATCTCAAGAAATGGAGCCACAAAGTGGAATCCACGACATGCGAGTGTGGAGAAGAGCAAACCACTGACCACCTGCTGCAATGCACCCTGAGCCCTGCCACATGCACAATGGAGGACCTTCTTGCAGCAACACCAGAAGCACTCCAAGTGGCCAGATACTGGTCAAAGGACATTTAATCAACTACCAAACTTGCAAATTTTGTATTTTGTCTGTTTGTTTGTTTTGTTCTGTTAGAAATGTAATACAATTGACTGGTTGCCCTGACACGACAGATAAATAATTGGCCTGATAGGTGTATTGTGTCCAAATTTCTTGTCAATTTGTCCAGTGGTTTTTGAGCTATGTTAGTCCCACAAATGAACATTACTTTTTTATATAGATAGATACACACACACATACACAATATGGTTATTTGATCTTTTAAGAGGGTGACATCATATGATAGTAAGGCCTTCGTAGTTAGAGAGCTTCAAACCCATGCTAGAAGCTGCACGTGATAATGTCCAAATCCTGTTTCCATCTTCTCCAATTCTGATGCCAATGAGAACAAAGTCAATTGGAAGCAAAAGCATTTGGTTGATCAGGTTTTTTTTCCTTCTGTGAGATTTGTGTTTGTATTCAGAGAACATGCAAGAAAAGAAGCTCAGTAGCAAATTCCAAGAGAAAAAGCAGGCAGGAAGAACACTCTTCCAGCTTTGACCAAAAAACGAAAGAGAAGGAGCAACATCGAAGTGGAAAGCAATATTCTGCATCCTTTCTCTGTCTTCTCCATCTTGGCGTTTAGCCGTACTGAACGTCTGCTCCAAAGAGCAGGAAGTCCTGCAAGGATACAAAAGGCAAACATTGAGAAACATCCCCACTGGATAAACAAGGAAAGATAATTAAAATCCTCTGAGTGCATTAACATTCTGGGTAATAATAATTATGGGTTTGTTAACCTTCATCAGTTGATATTGATGCTCATCCTACTGCTCCCAAAAGAAAACATGCCAAAGGCAAAATCTGCAAGTGGAACCAATAGTGTACTATCATAAATCAGCCTCATCTTCTTAAAAATATACGTAAAATCTAGTATGATACTCATAGAATCATAGAATCAAAGAGTTGGAAGAGACCTGCCCCTGCCAAGAAGCAGGAACATCGCATTCAAATAACCCCCAACAGATGGCCATCCAGCCTCTGTTTAAAATCTTCCAAAGAAGGAGCCTCCACCACACTCCGGGGCAGAGAGTTCCACTGTTGAACGGCTCTCACAGTCAGGAAGTTCTTCCTCGTGTTCATAAAATCATAGAATCAAAGAGTTGGAAGAGACCTCATGGGCCATCATCCAGTCCAACCCCATTCTGCCAAGAAGCAGGAATATTGCATTCAAATCACCCCTGACAGATGGCCATCCAGCCCCTGTTTAAAAGCCTCCAAAGAAGGAGCCTCCACCACATTTCGGGGCAGAGAATTCCACTGCTGAACGACTCTCACAGTCAGGAAGTTCTTCCTCATGTTCAGATGGAATCTCCTCTCTTGTAGTTTGAAGTTGTTCCATTGCGTCCTAGTCTCCAAGGAAGCAGAAAACAAGCCTGCTCCCTCCTCCTCCCTGTGGCTTCCTCTCACATATTTATAGATGGCTCTCATATCTTCTCTCAGCCTTCTCTTCTTCAGGCTAAACATGCCCAGCTCCTTAAGCCGCTCCTCATAGGGCTTGTTCTCCAGACCCTTGATCATATTAGTCACCCTCCTCTGGACACATTCCAGCTTGTCAATATCTCTCTTGAATTGTGGTGCCCAGAATTGGACACAATATTCCAGGTAAAGTGGTCTAACCAAAGCAGAATAGAGCATGGGGAGCATGATTTCCCTAGATCTAGACACTAGGCTCCTATTAATGCAGGTTCAGTACAGCTCTAATGGCCACAACAATTAGGTTGTGTTGTCGAAGGCTTTCATGGCCAGAATTGCGGATCAGGCCAGGGTGATCCATACCTTAGTCACCTCCAGATTGGACTACTGTAATGCACTCTATGTGGGGCTGTCTTTGAAGACGGTCCGGAAATTTCAATTGGTACAACAGGCGCAGGCAGGTTACTAACCGGTGCTTCTTACAGGGAGCGGTCAACCCTCCTATTTAAGGAGCTCCATCGGCTGCCGTTCATTTTCCGGTCCTAATTCAAGGTGCAGGTTCTTACCTACAAAGCCCTGAACAGTTTGGGACCCGCCTACCTCCGTGACCACATTTTTGTGTGTGAACCCACACAATCTCTTCGATCATCTGGAGAGACCCTGCTCGCACTCCCACCTGCATCGCAAACGCGATTGGTGGGGGTGAGAGAGAGGGCCTTCTCGGTGGTAGCCCCTCAACTCTGGAACTCACTCCCCAGGGACATTAGACACGCCCCAACGTTGGCAGTTTTTAGGAGGAGCCTGAAAACGTGGTTGTTCCAGTGTGCCTTCCCAGAGTAAGGAAATACCCTCAGCAATATGTCCCTAAATGCACTTTATCACTGACGTAGGATTGTCTGCGCGCCCCATCTCTACCTGAAAACTCTATCCCAGTTATATCCAACCTTGTCCATGTCCAGCGTTATTTTTTAATTTTAAATTATTGCATTTGGCCCAGCCATAGGTTTTAAATGCTTGTTGTTTTGTTACTGTCTATTGTTTATTTTTGTTTATGAGATTTATTTTAACTGTTGT